GAACTGAAATCCATACACTCTTCATCAAATACCTCTACCTATTCTCGTGCCCTTCGCCATTCTCTTTTCTTTACACCTAGATACCTACCCTCTGGTGGTGTTCCGCACTTGCTTACATCTTACGCATGCATCACCCTCTGCCCAGATCTATCGTTGTTTTTACCTCTCCAAGCTCGCCCAAGAGCTGAAATTCTATAGAGAAACACTATCAGCTCCCATCTTTCCACCAAGAATGTCTGCCACTTCATCCAAGGCTGACCACGGCTCAGTCGAGTCCAAAGACATGGGCCAGTCACACATCATGTAAGCCAGCGGCTCCACTCTCCCACCTCAATCGTGGAACCCCCTAACGCGGGCTAGCTCCCGGCGGTACGCCAACCAAACGGACCCGGGCAGATCGCACCAAATGCTTCGGTACCTCAATGACCCGACGTACAGACCTGTGACCGAGACGCTCCTAGACCCCTCCCACGTCCCTGGTGTCCGGAACTGGACCAGCCTCGATATCCTTCTGTGCAGCGCCCTCTCGCACAACAGCAAACCCACACCTCCGCAAAACGGCCTCTTAACTAAGATCGGGGCCCAGTTTTCTGATCACAAGCAAGGCACGGTCCGCCCCGCAAAGCTGGACCTCATTGATGTTGCTTCCACGGCTTCTTAGTCCATGGTATGGAGGTCATGACAGGGTTTTCACAATATGTCATCTTGCCCTGGTTGATTCTTGGTGTATGGCGTCGCGGAGACGCATTTCTATTTGTTGTCAATCGAAGCATGTCCATTAGCCAGCGAGCGACACGTCGCGTCACATTGGGTAGCTTCAATTATAGAATAGCTCATGTCAATCCAATTAAACCGGAATACCGTAAATGGAGGTGACACACCGAAAAGCTTCTACCACGCGGTCAGCGACCTTCCATACACCTTCTTTGCAGCAACGTTATGCAGGCGCCTTAGCGGTAGCCCGGACCGGCAGCCTGTGCAGCATTCGCTCCACTCCACGTCATCAGAAGCTGCAACCATTTGGTTCCCCGTCCCCAATGTGAAGAACCGGGACGCACCTCAAGTCTTCCGCTGACAGCTTACCTGCTTTCTCGGCTCCCTCACCAACCGGGAGCACCAGATTGACGCCGGGGAAGACTCGATGCATTGCCGGCACATGTAATTGCAGCAAGTCTCTGTTGCACAATGAAAACAAGCGCGCCCTTGCGTCTTCCGGCCGCCGCGGCGAGCAGGCGAGACAGCTGTACCTGGGCGTTGCTGATTTGCCGTCCCAGCGTCATAATACTCGCCCTTGCTAGGGATGCTAGGCTAAGCCACAAGTACCTACTTAGGTATTCAGAGAGCGCAGGGTGCCCGGCATTCGTGACGCTTCGACCACCCGGCTCGGTGAAGCCGGTCGGCTCTGGAGATCCTATAACAGCCAAGGAAAGCGATACGCATATTGCGGCGTCCAGTAAGATAGGGAGCTGATGGTGTGTAAGCAGTCACGGAAGGTCCTAGCGATTTGTGGATGCAATGGAAAGCTGTGGTCCTATGAAGGTAGGCCTTGGTTGTCCGGGGAAGTATCCGGAGGCCAGGGAGGTTCGAAGCGGAAGGGAGACGGCAGCAAGCCAATGTTGAATGTTGAGAGAAGGCGCATAAAGTCCGTGCAGAGCGCAAAGTAGGGCGAGGTTGCAATCATCACCTAGTGATCTCTCCTAGTTGAGGCTCTGCCGCTGAAGATCACAGATGAACGATGTGGGAAAGCTAGGTCAACTCCCCGACATTTACGGTGAACATGGCATCAGTGTAGGGTGCAGCCTTTTTTTACTTTGTACTTTTGCTAAACTAAACGGTACAGATGGATCTGTTAGGGCGGCGTGAAACTGCAAGCCCAAGTCTGCACATTATGGCTGCACCAAGTTGCAGCAACACTGAGCAGACCAGCAAAAAATAAAACAAGACGCAAAAAACATACAACAGCGGGGATTCGCTGGTCGTCACCGACCCAACTACTAATCCGCCCCTCACTGGCTTGTCTATGGGAGAGCGGACGGGATCCCGAATTTTCCAGTGGGTATGGTCGTATGTGACAGCTTCAGTTGCTGGCCTCCTGATGAAGGGCTCACGGGGACACCACGAGGACTTCCACATTGTAATGACTCCTTTCTTGAGATTCATGGAGTTGGATTGATCAGACATACACATGCTTGGGAAACTAGCATACTCATTCCTGTTTAGTACTTGCATCTACCGATTATCCACAATAAAAGCTTCCTAAGCACTTCTATAGCGGCCCCTGAGAGAGCCACATCACGAAAAGAATCCAGTTAGTCTCCTATCCATGGAGAATCGGAAAGAAGGATATCGTGTATCCCCTCAGTAATATATGGCCAGCAAGCTGTCTGCGACACGGCAGAGTTCCCATCAAGTCGCTCAACCCATACTTCACTTCTGACGCACATTTTACACTAAAAGACACCACTGGGGTCATACTTGTGTTTGATATCAAGCAACCTCTTATAGTTGGCGCTCCAGACGGCTCGTTGCCAGTCGGGTTCAAGAGCATCAGCCTGGAGAGCAAGGGGAGTCAGCAAGATACATATTGTTAAGCTCTACCATTTTTCTTACCTCGTTAAAGTATGTTCCAGAGTCAGGAGCTAGGCTGCGCAGGGTGGCACCCTTCACACTCGTCATGCCACGATTCCTCAGCAATTGGGTAGACCAGGGCATCTCTCCAGGCAGGGTTCAGAGCGTTGTCGACTGTCACTGAACTTGCTATCATGCTTCCTGAGATGCTTGGGTTGAATACGCCGGTCTGTGGGGACTAGACACGTCAATTCTTTTATGTCGAGGTGCACACCTTAGAGGCTTCATCACTGGGACCAATGAGCTCCAGAACCCGCGCCAGCTTGTTAACATCTTCAGTCAGGGACGGCTCAGGGAGCCTAAGCGAGGAGGCGGCACTACCACAACCAGCAGAGCCCTCAGAGGGCAGAGTGTCAAAGACGCTGATCCAAGGCGGGGCCCAGGCAACTTGCCCTGGAGACCCTGGCGCTTCAGGTCCGGGAGGATTGCATGCAGCCCGGCCATGAGATCCCACCACCTCGCCATCAAAAATTACTAGTACCGCTTAGATGATGCTATCAGTTCCCATGCGGAACTCGCTCGTCAGATGGCCGTGACCACCTCCTGTGGCCCAGCCAACAAGCCCAACATCCTGTTCCAGTGTCAGCAAAGCTATGAGCTCTAACCTACTGCAAGATAGAGGAGGGCAAGATATCTACCGACGCTGTTTGTTCCTCTGACTATAACCATACCATACTCAGCAGCTGCGTGGAAAATCTAATCGTCTTGTAGATCAGCGCCGATGGTGAATGCAGTTTGGGGTGGGGATATCTGACAGTAGACTAGAAGTCTTCACGGAACTCTACTTGCTTCATGTAATGCGTCCAGATTCCGAAATAATCGATATTAGCCAAGTTCATGTGAGGTAGGTAGGATGGTTTGTCTACGCACGAGAGACTCCCATACAACCCCGCCTTCCCAGGAAAGAATAGACTCCGTCAGACTCGATGAGTGCCGGCCAGGCCCCGGAAGCAACGGCTCGCAGGCCACAGTGGACGACGACGTGCTGGACCCAGTGGTCGAGGAACCGGGGTAGATCTGGCTCCCGTCGCGCCAAGGTGTCGAGGAGATGACAACCCAGGATTAAGGTGAAAAGCAGGGAGGGTCACACAGCTGGAACATTCGATGCGTATGCATGTCGATTTGAAGCTCTCGGCGGTTTGTGCTTACAGGTGAACCGCGTGCGCGAGGTAGAAATGTGACTTCGCCGGGACCTGGGATGCGAGGCGGCCTCTGACGTAGGTCGAGACTAGGCGGGCTTCCATAAGATCGTCGGCGGCGGCTCTGACGGGCCAGGTTTCGATGTCACGGCTTCTAGGCCGAGCTTGCAATGCCGTTCAGACATGATGCAGTTCAAACATGCCGGGCGCGTCTCATGGCACGATCAGCATGTCAATACATGATGCTCCTAATCTCAATTGACAACTTGGGTCGGTCAATATATACTCGCAGACCTTATGTGCCTCCTTTTACACTCTTGAAACCCATTGCGTGGTTTACAATGCCGGCGAGGGAAACCGAATACTCGTATTACGTCAAGATGGGCGGGCGCCTATCTCTGTAGAGGGGCGGGTAGTTTAAATAAACTTGACAGAGGGTAATACTCGTATTAGATACTATAGCCGCTAGTAAGACAGCCCTATCAGAGCTGGTCCCGGCGTTGGAAAGCAGGGGGTGGGAGCTCGGCACCATGACTCGGAGGAAACTTGCGTAATCAGGGGGTCTTTTTTTGGTTGAGTTGGTTGAGAAAGAGATGAATTAGTTCTAAGATTGCGTATACAGTTAGGCTGAATTGCAAACGGTGATCGAAATGTGCCTTGCGATTGCGTGTAGACGGGGTTGCGCAGGGACATCTATCCTGTTACCATCGCGAGTCAAGGTCCACGTACGTGGCACATGTCTGTTTCTATCCCCGGTCAGGTTCATGCATAATTCCGAAAAGCTTAACACTCTCTAGTCTCGACATTTAGAACGAGCCTTGTCTTAATACCAGCCGAGTGCTTGCTTGTTATGTTGTTTTGTTGTCTGCTCTCCATCTTGCGACTCTGAATCACTCTCCACTTGTCGTCTTTTCACTCTCTCAACACTGAATCACTCTCCACATTTCTCTTCACTCTCCCATCTCTGAATCACTGTCACAATAATCGGCACCATGTCAAAACAATCGGAAAATGGCTGGCCGACTCACGATAATTCATCTACAGGAGCTGAGCAGAATCTCAGAAATCACGGGCTCAGGGTGCAACAACAAAGACACGAGAGCCACGGTCCTCCTCCCTACAGCTACTACCCACAAGAGCCTAGCCCTCTTGATCAATTTGACCTGGATTCTACGATCGGTGCCAGCGTCTCGAGTAAGTCTTCTCCCTCCTTTCATCCAAGCTCGTAAGCTTATGGCGGTTATTGCAGATGACGGCCGAGTCAAGATGACTCCTAACAAGAGGACGAGCTACATCGCCGACATGATTGCGCCGACACTGCACCAACAACATGATCCTCATCTCAACACGAGTCCTCGACCTCCTCCCCCTCCCCCGAAACCAGGTCTTGGCCATGGCCAGGGTCCCCCGCCCATGAGCATTGTCATCCAGATCGTCGGATCCAGGGGCGACGTGCAGCCGTTTGTGGCGCTGGGCAAGACCCTCTCGGCATACGGCCACCGCGTCAGAATAGCCACTCACCCAACGTTTGCCAAGTTTGTTCGCGAAAACGGCCTCGAGTTTTTCAGTATCGGGGGTGATCCTGCCGAGCTCATGGCCTTTATGGTCAAGAACCCAGGACTCATGCCTGGAGCCGACGCCGTGAAGACGGGAGAGGTGAGTAAGCGACGCCGTGGTATCGAAGAGATGATGTTGGGCTGTTGGAGATCGTGTATCGAAGCGGGCGATGGTTTGGAAGCCACCTCTGACGAACAGAAGCCGTTTGTGGCCGATGCCATCATCGCCAACCCTCCCAGCTTTGCCCACATTCACATCGCTGAGAGGCTCGGTATCCCTCTGCATCTCATGTTCACCATGCCTTGGTCACCAACAACCGCCTTCCCGCACCCGCTAGCCAATATTCAACACTCAGCAGCCGATGGAGCTTCATCAAACTACATGTCGTACGCAATGGTCGAGGTCATGACCTGGCAGGGACTCGGAGATGTAGTCAACAGGTTCAGAACAAAGGTGCTCGGGCTAGATCCTATCGCACTCATGTGGGCACCTGGCTTACTCGAACGGCTTCGCATCCCGTACACCTACTGCTGGTCCCCTGCCCTGATCCCCAAGCCTGGGGACTGGGGTGACAACATTGACATCTCAGGCTTCTTCTTCCTGGACCTCGCTTCATCATTCAAGCCGCCAGCAGACCTGGATGCATTCCTTCGCGCCGGTCCCCCGCCTGTTTACATCGGCTTCGGTTCCATCGTCGTCGACGACCCCGCCAAGCTCACCAGAACCATCTTCGAGGCAGTGCGGCTAGCTGGAGTCCGAGCTCTTGTATCCAAAGGCTGGGGCGGCATCGGAGGGGATGATCAAGTGCCTGAGGGAGTCTTCATGCTCGGCAACGTACCCCACGACTGGCTGTTTGGCCGCGTCTCAGCCGTATGCCACCACGGCGGCGCAGGCACCTGCTCTGCGGGCATCAAGGCCGGTCGCCCAACCGCTGTGGTTCCCTTCTTTGGCGACCAGCCTTTCTGGGGCGCCATGGTGAGCCGAGCCGGCGCAGGTCCCGAGCCGATCCCACACGCCGACTTGACAGCCGAGAAGCTCGCCGCGGCGATCCGCTACTGTCTGTTGCCTGAGACACAGGCCAGGGCCCAAGAGCTGGGCGCCAGGATCCGTGAGGAATCTGGAACAGCTGAAGGCTGTAGAAGCTTCCACCGCCAGCTCCAGGATCGCAAGATTAACTGCGATGCCGCGCCTGGGAGATGCGCAGCTTGGAAGGTTAGGAAAACGACTGTTAAGCTGAGTCCCTTTGCTGCGGCAGTACTTGTCAGAGCTGGAGAGCTGGAGTACTCAGACCTAAAACTGTAAGTGAAAACCCCCTTGTCTGTTCTGTAACATGGGCTCTGGCTGACATGAAATCAGATACAGGTCAATTGAATACAGCACTGAGGAGCAGCCGTGGGATCCCTTCTCAGCGACTACAGCCGCTCTCATAGGAGACATGAGCAGCATCGCCGCAGGGATCGCTACCGTCCCTCATAACGTGATCAAGGGAATCCGAGCGAGCAACAAGAGAGGGAAATCACCATCCCCTGGGCCATCTTCAAATGCCCAGGAACCCCCCAATGGCCCCAGTTCCTCTCAGATCCAGGCCTCGCAGCAACTCCAGGGGACGCCAGGGGACAACAATCACGTCGAGCAGCAGGAATCAAGTAACAGCCATGCAGCCGAAGTCGCCAAGAACGCAGCCATTCAGGTGGGCGAGGGCATCGGTGGCATCGTCGGGGCAGCCGTCAAGTCCCCCATGAACTTCAGCGTCGGGTTGGCCAAGGGGCTCAAGTACGCGCCGCGCCTCTACCATGACGAGCTAATCCGTCAGCCGGACAAGATTGACAGCTTCTCCAGTGGCCTCAAGGTGGCGGGTAAAGAGCTGGCATTGGGATTCTACGACGGCGTCGCGGGTCTGGCGGTGCAGCCGTGGAAGGGCGCAGTTAAAGAAGGACCCAAGGGGTTCATCAAGGGCTTTGGAAAGGGCGTTGGTGGCCTCGTTTTCAAGCCTGCAGCTGGTAAGATCCCCTCTCTTCTCCTCTTTTTCTTCTTCTGGCTAACTCTTTCGTCTCAGGCATCTTTGGTCTCTCGGCTTACTCGATGCAGGGTGTTCACGCTCACTTCCGGGCCATGTTCTCGAGCAATGTGCCAGACTATATCATTGCATCGCGCATTCAGCAGGGCGAGGACGACTTCAAGGCTGCGTCAGACCATGAGCGAAACGCTGTGCTGGGGAAATGGTGGAGTATTCAGCCAGATCTAAAGAAGTGGCATCAGAAGGGCAAGGACAGGGAGGATGACCCCTATGTGTAGAGTGGTGACTGATCGAGGTGTGTTCAAGAAATGGCTTCCTTCTACCGCTCAACGAAGCGCAGTGTTTGTACCTACTCTTTAGCTTAATTGGCTAGCATTAGAAACTGGATAATACAGGCATTAAGATAGATTCCCTTCCGTTTACCATTGTGATTCAACCTGTGTCCCTAGTATGATGACTTGTCAACGACTACACAGTCGTTCTAGTTCACACCCATATCAGGCATCCAAGCCCCAAGCCCTGATCACCGGCAGCCCTCACAGCGCAAGTAAAGCAAGTCCCCTCGTCAGCTCTGGCGATGACAGCATACCTCCCCTCCATTGAACACCACGCCCTTGCTAGTAGTTCGCAGTCTCCCTCCCCAGTAGCGTCTATGATCAGCACCCTCTCATCCTCGGGCACAGACTTAAAAGGGTCTCCAATGTCAGCCACATCCACGATGTGCTCGAGTCCTGGCAACTGGCGCAGGTCGACGAGGTGTGGGCCATAGGGGCAACGACAAAGGTTGCGTTGTATTTCAGCTCAAGTAGTGAGGCTATCGGGGCCTCGTTGATTTTAAATGTCAAGACAGCTCTTCTTGGCTCATCGGCCACATCCATGGGATCAACTGCCTTTGCTCTTAGAAACTGCAGGCCCATGAACTTGATCTTAGTTGGCAAGTTTCGAGGAGGAACTGCTCCCACCCACTTAGCTGACTCGTCTGAGCCCTGAAGATTCGAGGTCCCAGCTGGTTGCTTGGAGACTTGGTCAAAAGACACCTCCTTCTCCTGAATCCGCCACCAGCCAGGGCTGACAACTTGACCATCGTTAGGCAGAACCGAGGGGCAAGGCCCAACCCAGCCGTTGGCCGCGTTGACACCCTTCATCCCGCCAAAAACACGGCCAAGTACGTGCCTGGAGCGCCAGTATAATTGCCAACCCAACACGAGCCCAGCGGAGGGATGCGCTGGCTCGCCCATCGGCAGCAGACTTGGGGTAGCAAGCACGAGGGCGGGCATGATGGCGCAAACATGCCCTGAACCGGGCAAGACAGTTCCAAATGCCCAGTCCAACAACTTGTGTGTGCCCATTGCAGATGGAAGGACGGTAGCTCCTCGAGGTTCCAAGAATTCTTGCATCTCGTCCAAGCCAGGCCACTCCATGAACTCAGCGAATCGAACCAAACCTTCAATCTGCTCATCATGAACTAGTTCTTCAAAGTAATAATATGGCTCATACTCGGGTCCTGAGCCATTCTTGATGCGTACACCTTTGATCCATCGACAAGCCGACTCTATCGCCGCCATGACTTGGTTGCTGACGGTAAAGTTGGTTGTGGTTTGCTCGAGACGTAGTTTTAACTCGTATGCGACGATCATCTGAAAAAGCATCTCTAATCTCATTGAGTCGCCAGATAACCACATCTTGGCAGGAGGGACGGCTTCTTTATAGTCTGGAAAGATATCGACGCGATCTAAAGTGACGATCAGATCCTGAATCTGATGGTCCAAGTCGTACGTAGGAGCCTTGATGCGTTGGGTGTTGGCCGGGCCGAGAAGCATTTGCATGTACTCGAGTGTCGATTGTTCTGTTCTATTCTCCGGTAATGCTTTATGCTGTTGTAGTTCGTCCAACCATTCGACAAGTTGGCCGAGGCTGTGGTTAGGAATGACGCCGGTAGTGTTGTGAGTGTCGTCTCCTTCACTTGTAGGTTGGCTGTTGCGTCCCAGCCGCTCAAATCTGCTGCAAATCCTTGGACGGTTCGTGCTCCAGGCTATTTTCCCTCGAACTTGCGACTGGCCTGCCATGGTTGAGTGAGCAGCCGTGACAGAACGGTAGTGAGGGGTTCGAGACCAACGTACCTCGCTGTCTTTCTCACTATACCTGCATTGCATGTTTCCGATGCCATTGTTTATCTCTGCTGTGGCGTACATCAAGACTGCCTCTGTCAGCATTGACACGGGCTTGCCGCAAGGAGTCACTCACGCCAAGATGGATGAATTGGGTTGACGTCCTCCATCTCTTGTTGCTTCTCCTGGACATCCTTGCTGTTGTAGCCTTCCCACCTCAGCGTTGCGTTAGCGAGATGTTTGTCCTTGACTACGGTGATTCGTAGCATTCCCTTCAGGTGATATTTATCGCCAATGCTTGACAACATCAGACTCGTAGTCATCCTTGGTTGTCAATTTGCGAAACTGCGGTTGCTGGCTGTCTGACTTTACCCTGGACTTCTCGTCGTAAGATTTGTCTATCTCATTCGGCTCTTCTATACTCGAGGTTATCGGCTTATCCGCGAATCCATCATGGCTTGTATCCGCTACTCCCTCGGTCTTGGAAGGCCCTTCCACAGGCTTAGGAACAGGGTTGAGCAAGATATAGGCATCTGCATCAGCCAACAAGACAAACAGCAAGTTGATGCATTCACAAATGCCCCGGCTCAGAGACACAAAAGCCTTCTTATCCTTCCTATGCCACCTCATCGCGCTGCTGATTTTCAAGTTCATTGATGGAGGCCCGGGATGACCCCCTAGGTCTGGCCTCATGTGCCTTCTAGAAAGTGGCAAAAGCGGGGCGATGGACTTGACTATGTCGTCGAGAAAGTCGAATGCCCCCTGGGCGAGTCGAGGTACCGTGAGGCGAGGGTCGAGAGGGCCATGATCGTTCGGATCAAGCATGTGTGGGAAGCCAAGTTGTCTTCCCCAGTCCTTCAGACGATCTTGTTGCGTCCAGATACCAAGTCTAAAGTCAGAATAGTCAGATGTGATGGGATTGCCGCGGGCGAATCTTGACAGCATATTGTCGCAATCTTTCCAGGCGTTGGCGAGCGCCAGGGCATTGTTGTCTTGCATCTGTGCTGGGAGCCATTGTTGCTCGAATCTGCCGAGTGTCTCTGCTACAAAGGCGTCATCCTCGACAGCTTGTGTCTCCGCGGTTGGTGTACCGCTCATTGCAACTGTCGAGGTAAGCTTCAGTTGTGATTGTTGAGGTCTTTAAAGAGTGCATTTGAGGATGGCGAAGGGGGCTGAGCAAGCCAAGCCCATCCTCAGGCGCCACATGGTTGGCCTGACTGGCCACGATGATCCATGATGAAGCTAACAGATCGGAGCTAACATTAGGCCTGCATTATAAGAAATCAGGGATGCCTTGCCTTGCAAACCATGATACAAACCAACAAAATCTCAGATCTTTACCTAGGTAGTGAGTCCTTGTTGATTAGTCCCTTGAACAAAGACTAGGGTAGACTTTAGAGACTCCGAACAATACTCCTATACCCCGTGGAACCGTCTCGTCTAAAGGCATCTATGTAACAAATTTCAGTAACCGTGGCTACCTTTAAGGCAAAATATGACATAGCCTGTCCCAATCCTTAAATAGCTCTATAACTACACTTAAAGAGACTCTGGGGTAGCGTCAAACACCAAGTGCCAAAGTTCGGGGTCCGCGGACATCAACCCTTACAACTATTATTTCACCCATATCCTTGCATCCCGATAGCGGATAGATAAGACAGAGCGCGTTGTCCCACCTGAATTTCGCGACATAGACTTGGTCTTTATACATCCTCGCCACTCCAACATTATCCCGGGCCATAGTATTGCTAGTTGTACGACCAATCTTACGACAGCAGCACCAAACCGCCGCCGGGAATGTCGCTTTCGTGTACAGACTCGGGACCCGCGGATCCCCAGGCTATCCCGGATGTCGCTCGGTCCAGGTCGTACATTGGTCGGCGAGGACAGTTTAAACGTTCGCGGAACGGATGCCTTACATGTCGATCCCGGAGGAAGAAATGCAACGAGGAGAGACCACGATGCATAGGTTGCAGGAGGAACTATCTTGAATGCAATTGGCCAATGGAACAAGACCATCAAGCATCGCCAGCAAGCTCACACAAGCAAGATGCCAGCCAAATTCACAGTCAAGACTGTTTGACCTCTCCTTCTAGTGAGATTGTCTCACGGGCCGCAGAAGCTGAGAAGCCAATGAAAGAAAGCTTATGGACGATATCTTTTGGATCTTTCACGCATCTCACCCGATCTTGCACACTCACTCCCGAATCCCCTCTTCTACTTCAACACTACCTCACCACAACTGCAACCATGCTCCCCATGCCAGCCAACGAAAACGCCTTCATCACTGAGATTATTCCCGCCGCCTCTGTGGACGATCTTCTCATGCATAGTGTTCTAGTTGTTAGTGGAGCACACATGAACTTTGAGGACGATTCCGATGGAGCTGCCCAGAAAGCGACGTTGTGTCACTACAGTAGTCTTATTAGGCTTTTGCGCGTTGAGTTCTCCGAACTACAGGCCTCGGACACTAGGAAACTTGTTCGGTTGCTCTTAATTTTGGTCATATTGTGTCACTTTGAGGTCAGTACTAGTCCCTATCAACTGTTAGTCCTTCCATGTCAATACCGAGTTCGTCATAGGCAATCTCAGGGGTAAATCGAGAAGCCCTGTTTCGCCATCTCCGGGCCAGTCGAGAAATAATCCTCAAAATCTTAAAGTACCAGGAGTCGGCTGCATTAGGACACGACCTCACGACGCATTTCGGGCTCGGCCTCGAACTGTACTCATACCTCGTCGTCACCAATTGCCTAACACCATATGGTCTCTTGACCGAACGCACGTTTCCTCTGGATCATTTCGTCACTTCACTCGACAGCCTCCGCCAGTATCAGACGTTTGGCATCATGTTTGCTGGTCTTCACGGCCTTTTTGAGTTGATACCACAGGCATCTCTCCTTTTTGGTCAGAGACTGACTGAACAAGAGGCCGGTGTTGATGACCCTTCACCTGGTTGCGTAGAGCTGCATGATACGATCCAGAGTTGCCTTCAAGATTGGAACGTCTCACGAGCTGCAACTCACAGCTTCTATGATAAAGACTCCATGATACATGTTTCCGAAGTTATACGACACAGTCTAGAAATCTACCTAATCGCAGCGATGCAAGGTTCATCTATCTTAAGCCCCGAAACCATCTCCCAGTTCCAGGCCCATGTCGATATCTTCTTTGGCTCGGGTCGGAAATTGCACCAGTCTCAGTGGACAGCAACTTTGATGTGGCCATCTCTCATTGCTGGCTCTTGCACCACCCGGCAAGACCAGCAGCAATCACTTTCCCGCACCCTGCGCAACTCGAGATATCGGATGAAGCATAGCATCAGGGCATCGAATTTACTACAGAAACTCTGGGATGATCCGGACCCACGGATGTATGGACCGTATGGGCTGTACCTAGCCATCTCGCAACATGACATTACATTCGGGACTCTCTAAATGCAAGGATATAGCTCATGGTCGGATGCCGGCTGCGCTGTCGTTCAATTGAGGATACCAGGTCCATATTTTAGCAATCTTCACGATGAGAGGGGACGAACTTTCAGATACCAGCATTGTTCACCAAACTTATGATCATGTAACACAAAATTACCGAACCTAGGACGCAGATTCCAGAACGGATCACTGGACGCAACTAAAGAGAATCAAGCTATCGGAGTTGGCCCTAAAGAAAAAGCAAGCACATAACCCCCAAAGTCCTCCCCGACAGCTTCCAAAGCCCCCATATCTGCAACCATCAAAATCATTCATCATATTTAATCTCAATGGTGTGTTTAGGGTCATAATGCAGGGCCCAATACCCGTCCCAGATCAACTTCGTGACCGGACCAATCTCCCCGTTGCCCACAGCGCTCCCCTCAAGCTTCGTGATAGGCATGACACCGCCCGCAGTGGTGCACATGAATATCTCATCGGCCTCAAACGCCAAGCTCGTCGGCACGTCGTCGATATGGACAGAAATATTGGCCACCTCCGCGACATCAAAGACAGTTCGTCGGGTAATACCCTCCAAGACGCCCTTCCTGGCCGTAAATAGGGCGCCATCCTTGACGAAGACGATGTTATACCCGGCGCCCTCAGTAATGTTGGCGTCCCCGTCGGTCAAGAAGGGATACTGTGAGCCCCTATCTTGAGCCTCAAGGAGACCCCTGATCAAGTCTCCCCACTGCAGGTTCTTGACCGTGGGGTCAATTGCTCCAGGTGGAATACGTCGAACTGTGCGAGCAACGATAGCCTCGCCGCCAATCTGCTGCAGCTGTGGAGGCATGATCCAGACATACAGCATCACCAAGATGTAGATGAAGTTGCTGTCGGGGGTGTCGCTAGATACGGGCTCACGAACAAAGCGGAGCCCACGTGTGACGATGAGTTGAACATAGGCATCGCGAATACCACTCTTTGCGATCAAGTCAATTGTTGCTTGCTTGACCTCATCCCACGACATTGGAGGCTTGAGAGGCAACTTCTTGCAACTCGTCTCAAGGCGGTCCAAGTGGTCATTGAAACGGAACAGCCTTCCATCCCAGGCGGCGGGCACGTCGTATGTGAGATCGCTGTGGAGGAACCCCTGGTCGAGGATGGGGATTCGGGCCTCGTACAATGGGGAGACCTGGCCTTCAATGAGGGATGCACCGTGAGAGAGCGGGTTTTCGGACTGTTCGAGCTGTGTCTGGCGCTCTTGGAAAGTGTCCAAGATCTTTTGCATGGTTGACATTTTAAAGGTGTGAACGAGGTTGGTGGAAAGGCGTGTATGTATATGTACAAGCAGGGGGGTATAGACAAGTGCTCAAGAGTTGATGCTGAGTAGCAGTCGGGGTTCGTAACATGACAACAAGATGGACAATATATACTCAAACTTCACAGTCTATAAACCGGTCCCCGATAGATCTACGGCGCCCGAGGAGCCCGTGATACTCACCAGTGTCGTCATCTGGGTTGATGAATCTGGTCGACGACCTCGTGTAAGTCTTATCTATCCGCGGCAGATTATCGATAAGACCGTTCTGAATGCACGACATTCACAGTCAGTAACGGCCGAGAGCCTAGTCAAACACTCACAGCCACAGTAATCAATCTCACAGATGGCTGTTTCAATCGAGACACCCATCGCAAATGCGACAGAACACATTCTCAGCTTGCATATCTACCGACGGAGTTCAGGCTCCGTTGCGGATCAGCGCCAGGCACGTAGTAGGTATATAGAAGGAGCCTTTGCCCTACAGAAACTCTGCCTGCTCTCGTGTTCTCCGTCTTCGACGTCCCATCCCGTCCACTCACGCTCCCGCTTCAAAGACGCTATTTACCCCGAAATCGATTCTCGAACAGATTCCTCGCCCGAAATCACGCCCATGAAAATCACACCGCTTTCGCGCCCTATCCCGACCAAACAGAAACTCGCCTGGCCAGCCCGAAAAAAGAAATGGATACTTGGTCACCCCGCACGATGTTGTCTGGGTTCAGTGAATACCTCTATATCTTAAGGGTTCCGATATTGGATCCTTCAGACGGCCTTGTTCTCGTGATCTGGTCAACGCCCTAAGATGGGTGCTCGTCGCGGCGATTTCGTGCCCGAGGCCGGCCAAACGGACGATGAGTCAAAAGTCCTACTTGGCCTACGCGTCCATGCACAAAAAAAAAAAAAAAAGGTATGTGCTGCTTATTTTCCCCTCCCTGCGGGGTCATGGACGGGAAAACACCACCGAAACGCAAGATGCCATCTGATTGGGCTTTATGTCGAGCGTCGTGTTCGGGATGAGGGCTCTTTGCGATGATGCTGGGGGATGGGAGCTACGGGTGTGAGGGGATGGGGGCGTGTGTCGAAATGCGACGGCGCAACAAGGGGGGGGAAGGGCGTCCATTGACCACAAAGTGATCGACAGCCGTCAAAGTAGAAAAAGGGTCGGTCGGGGGGGCGGGAGAAACACGCCAGATTAGTTTCTTCCCTCTCTAAGAGTCTGTTTTCTCATTTAAAAGCCAATCCAGCGCTGCGCGTCGGCTGGGCCCAAGCCGTGCGCTCACGGACGGCCTCCGCCGAAGCCGGGGAGCCACTGGCCCGACTTGCACGGCCTACGGCCCCGTCCGGCCCCACTCAGTCTAGCTCCG